CTGAAAAACCAAGTGCAGATGACAAGACTATGTAAACTGAATATATAGTAACACAGCCAAAACATACACATCTACAGGGGAACCATTAAGAGACAGATGGCTGGCAAGCAATTTTCCCTATGGCGTTTGTAAATGTCCATCCGGTGCTTGTATTTGGGTCATCTGATAGCTAAGCCCCATGTGGCAGTCTCAATGGAGGTGAGGCAAAGCGGTCTCTACTGGCTTCACCTAATTTTAATTTACTGTTGAGATGTACTTGTTCAGTAAAATGAACCAATTCTTCACAGATTTGATTAAATAATCAAAACAGCTAAAAAAATAAAATATCACATAAATATTTCATAAACTATAAATCAGGTCCACTTGCATTTTTTCCAGTGTCTTATAAACTGGGAAGGAAATTAGAGTTAAAAAAAAAAAAAAAAAAAAAAAAAAAAACACTCTTGTACATATTGGCTTCTTTCAGTATAGTCTTGATGATATATCCTTTGATTCAAAGCAAACTTCTCCCTTCTTTACTTAGATTTTATAAGTAATTCTCTGTAAACAAACTTTTAAATACCAGGCATCCATTCAATGGTTGCATACACTAGAATTTTAAGGTACCAATAACATATTGGCCGGAGGTGAGTTATTCAGGGGAACTTTCTAGAGGCAAGATAACAGAGTGATGGATCATTTTACAAAGGACCATATCAGGTCAAAAACCCAAAGTGGCGTTAAAATCTAAAGACCAAGGAGAAGGCATAGTAGAAGGCATAGTAGAATGCACAGTAACATCTAAAGACCAAGGAGAAGGCTTTAGAAAATAAAGTTTTTAAAAAACTTGTTAACATGCCTTACACCTCCCATTCCTTCTTTTAAAATAGTTAATCAATGACTTTAAGGAAGAAACGTCTTAACTAGTGTTTCATTAAAAATAAAGATTTACATTTGTACCCAAATTAGGAATGTGCTAGTAAGAGCTTGGAGTAGTTTTAATTCAAGAGCAGAAATTTCTGCCATGGAGTTGTTTCTCCAAGTTTCACACAATTATTGCAAAATGGAATAGCTAAGAAACATAATGATAATGTGAATGATGGTGGTTGGGTTAACAAATGCAAAATCGGCAATAAGGAAAAAAAAAATGTTCAAAGCAGCCACAAATCCATTCCCCACTTTCAAATCCTCAAATTGACTTTTTTTTTTAATGAGTGCATTACGTTACTCATCTGAGAATAAAAAATGTAGTAGTTGCAGTATCTTTACTAGTTGTATGTCTTAAAGGAAATGCCTGCAATTAGATGGTAAGTCAAAGTGAAATCAGACTACAAAACAATAATTAGGGTTTACTTCTATTGCTTTGAAGTAAACTAACTTCTCTTTTAGTGTTATCTCTATGCAAAGCATATTAACAGTAATATTTTTTAAGAGGATGAAGGGGAAATGATGTAATATTATCCTTGCCAAATATATAAGAAAGCAGAAAAATTGGGGTCAGCCAGTTTTCCCCTGACCTAAACACCAAATTTCTCCAGAAAATGAGAGAGGGTCCTTCAAGAAGTCAAATGCAACATGACTTAAAGTCTGGCAAAGAATGCACATTTATAATTCCCATTTTACTCTAACCACAACTTAAGATTCAATACAGTCATTACTAGATTGAAGGCAAGGGGAAGAGGGATGACGTTGAAACCATTTGTGCTTTTTTTATTAGATAGGATGAATTCTCTTTTACTGTTTGTTTCATCATATCCTCACCATATTCTTGAGTTTAGCACAGAAAAACTTGTGAAATATTAAGTTTTACCATAGGGAAATTGATTTTGCTATAAAAACGTCTCAGATTACCACTTAATTTCAACCAAACTACATGAAACACTGGAAGTAATTATATATATCATTTATAAAGTAAACTTGATCACTATACTTAAAAGAAATGATAACTTTGAGAAGTACCACAGCAATAATTTTTAAGTTGAAGCAGTATAAAGCCCTCCTACGGTAAATGCCAGATTCTTGACTAAAATGCACAGTCTTGATGTAGTTAAGCAAGCCAAGCGTAAGAGCCACCTCCCTCCCTGAGTGCAGCTCTTTGCTTCCAGCACTGTCCTCCTCACAGAGCTGTATTTCTCAGAAGTTCCTGGGGGGCCAGCGGAATCCACAGATGTAGTTTAAACAACGTTTTAAACTTGAGCCTTTGTAGTCTGAAATGGATTGATGGAAATAAACACATTACCATCATCCCACAGTTCCCGCTGACTCCCAGCCCTCTCCCCCCTGCACACCCTGGTGAGTCGGAGTAGTTAGAAAGGACTGTACCTGAAAGCCACAGCTTGCAGTGCACCTGGGCACTGAATCACCTGAGCATGCTGTGAAAACACTGACTTCCATGAGCCTATTAATATGTATTTCACGATTTCATAAAAACCAAGACTAGCCCTAACCGATTTAGCTCAGTGGATAGAGCGTCAGCCTGTGGACTGAGGGATCCAGGTTCCAATCAAGGGCATATGCCCGAGTTGTAGGCTCAATCCCCAGTAGGGGGCGTGCAGGAGGGAGCTATCAATGATTCTCCCTCATCACTGATGTTTCTCTCTGTCTCTCCCTCTCCATTCCTCTCTGAAATCTATAAAAATATATATTTTTTTAAAAAACACAAGTTTGATACTATTAAGACTTCATACTCTCAGGAGTATGCGATTGCATATGCAGGTCTGCCACTTAGAAAATTAGAGTCAAGGACACTTCAAATTGTAGCAAAAGTATAGTTTGTACTTACAGACCCTCAATATCATATGTCATGTATAATGTCTAGATATCATATACTGAGCATGCTATCAACTAGGTGACATGGGCAAATCATCACATTAAATTCATCTAAGTAGCGAGGTAGAGGTCAGCAAATCTGACACTCCCTTCAACAGATAACATGTAGAGAATGAATACTAATTGTTCACCATCAAAATACAACTAATTTATCATCACACTTGCACCATTCTTCCTTAAAGTTACAAAGGCCTATAAATTCTGATTGATTATTTTAAAAAACACACACACACACACACACACACACACACACACACAAAACAAGCACTAAGTCTATAGGGGGAAAAAAAAGCACATGAAAATTTAGTTTCAGCTTCAACCATGACAGGTTAGTTTCTTCTGACAAGTACTTTTCCAAGAACTAGATAGCAAAAACAAAAACAAAAATAAACAGTAGCATACAAGAGTCATGCTTGATTTATATACCACAGTGATCTAACAAGTTACAATATCACAGCAAGTTACTTTTTCATAAGCTGTATAGTCTTGGTTTAAATGCTCACTATTTGAACTGTCCCCAAAGGAGCCAGTCACTGCCCAGATTTGTCCCTGAATTTATTTTGTGAAAAGAAGCAAGAGATTTTTCTTCCGATTGCCCTCGAAATAGCAGGTGCACTGTAACCCAAAACTGGAGGGAACAGAAGCAGCCCCTCTCACAGAGCACTTATTTCTCAGAGCATGGAGCATAATTGCTAAAATCTGCACATTGCTTAAAAATTGAGGGAAAGTTTATGTCTAACAGGGGCTTCCTAGCAACTAGTCTCTGATAGACAGTATATCAAATGCATTAAGAAGGGTTTGCTGGATGTCTTTGCAGGGACTATCGGGGGATTTCATAATAGACATGTGGATGGGAACCAAAATCCGCTGACTGAAGGTATACATCCATGAACATGCTTTTAGTCAGAGAGCGGGCACACCAGAGAATATAGAACATGGCTAATTACTACCAGGAGAAGATTTTGCCTTCACCTCCCCTCACTATCAACCACTTTTCCCAAGTTCACTCACTGCCTCGCCCTGACCCTGGGGAACCATTCACTTTGCACAGCCCGGAGAGGCTGCTGAAAAGCTGTCAAAGTAAATCTGTGCTCACTTTTTGGATAGTTTAATTTCAATGGAGCATGAAACACCCCAGGACGGTTAATAAGTTTAGCCAGGCGTGCTGTTCTCCCTAATATATTTTAATTATGCATCTGTTTTAATTGTAATCAGATTAAATCACTGGAAAGGCACAAATTGGAATGTTCCCTAATGGCTGTTGGAGCTTTTCATCAGTTTCTAAACACTAACAACGTTTTAAAAAATAGGTAGAGCCACGAGCACAACTATGACATTTTTCCAGAAACCAATGCAGTCTCTTTGACAACACAGTTCAGGTCTCATTAAGCCACCCAAACTAACCCCAAATGCAAAAGACAACTTCCGTCTCTAGGGGCGTCTTCTTCCACAATTAGCACCAAAAAAAAAAAAAAAAAAAAAATCGCTAATGTCTAGTGTGAAACTCACAAACAGAAATGAAAGCCAAGCCTTTATAAAGTGCTACTCCATCGATTAGGGAAAGAGGCGCGTGGGGGGAAGGAGGGGAGAGGTAAGAGAGCCGGAGAGACCATCAGCAGCAGTATCTTGGCTCACAGTCAAGTACCGCTAGCTACACGTCAAAAGGGAAAGTTGAAGCAGAGTACGATCCTCTTTCCATGATTTTGGCAACTGTCAGAGGTGTGCGTTAACCTCGGGAAATAAAATCGCCCGTCCCATCCATAAACGGAAACGTTACCGGGAAGATGTATTAGGGGGCGGGGAACGGCTTCCCAGCCCAGACTTAAAATCACTCAGTGTGCTTTTGTTGCGCCAAGCAATACCTAAGACGTGTGTTGTTGTTGTTGTTGTTGTTGTTGTTGTAATAGTTTCATTAAGCAGTTTCCCAAATTGCTGCGATTTCCGCTAAGAAATTTAAACGTCTGCCAACAGCCGGGAGTCCAGGGAGAGAACCTGCTGCAAACTAGGAACCCAAACTCCGGCAAAGCCCGCCCAGCGCGCTCGCAGCCCGCCCGTTCCTGCTCTAGGTGATCCCGTCGACGCGCCTCCTCCCCATTCAGGTGCCGGTGAGTTCCTCCCTAGAGTAAGAGGCGCTTTCCCCAGCCTTAAAAAGCCGGAAGCTCCCGAGTCCCCTCTCCCTCTCGCCCCCTTACCTGTCATCGTAGCAGAAGTCCGCGCTCAGGGTGTTCAGGTACAAGGCGAGCCCCAGAGCGCTGCTCACCAACTCTGCAATCATCTCTCCGCCGCCTTCCCTCCGGCCCGGCTCCCAGCGCGAGGGCAGCGGCGGCAACAAAACACAGAAGCATCAATCGCCACCTTCCTCCGCCTCCTCCTCCCGGCTGCACTTTTCCCTCGCTTCCCCACCCTCCCTGCTTCCCCTCCCTTCCTCCTCCCCGGGGTCCTCCTCCCAATCCACGCGCTCTTCCTCCACCTCCGCGGGTCCCCGCGGCTCCGGCGTCCTCCCCGGGGCGCGGGCTCACACCGCGCTCCCCATCGCCCGGCGCCCGGGCTCCGCGCCCTCCGGCGGAGGCACAGGGGCTGGTCCTTCTCCCGCGGCTCCAGGCCCCCCGCCCTAACCCATGGCAATCCGGGGCGCCCTAGGTGAGCAGTGGGACGCGGAGGAGGAGGAGGGAGAGTGCGGGATGGGGGGCCGGGCAGACGGACCGGTCCGAGCCGGGCTCCGGGACCACCAGCTGGAGGAAGAGAGAGAAAGAGGGGCGGGGGGGAGGGACGAGACGGACCGCCTCCCTTCGCCGCCTCCCGAGCGCAAGGATCGGGGGCCCGCTCGGGCTGCCGCTCATTCACTCTTTATTAGCGCCCGGCCCCCGCCCGGCCCGCCCGGCCCCTGCGCGGCGGAGTGAGAAGCGCCGGCCGGAGACTGGAAGCTCCCGCGTGGGGCTCCCGGCGCGGCCCCCGCGCCTGCGTGGCCGGCCCTCCTCCCCGGCGCGCCCGCCCCTTTCCCCACCCCGACGCCCCAGGCCCCGCCCACGCCACCCTCCCCGGCCGCAGGCTCCGCCCCCCGCCCGCCGCTCCCTCCGGTTCCTTTCACCTCGGATCTCACCGCGGAGAGAGCCCGGGGGACCCCAGGGCGGGGGCTGGAGCGCAGCCTGCGCGGGGGGAGCGGGAGGAGACCCGGGGCGGACGGAGGGAGGATGCGCTCGCTCGCCAGCCGCGCGGCGCGGGCCCCAGGCTGGTGGAGCGCTGCCCGGCGCGGGCCGGGTCGGCTGGACACTCCTGGGCACCGGGAGCGGAGGAACAGGTTTGGCGAGTTCTGCAGCCTCGGTGGCCACAAACACGCACGCGACCTTCTCTGTGTGTGCGGGGCGGGTGGGGAGGATCTTAGGAGGGAGAGATTTCAGTGCCCAGCGCACCGTTGTCTCCAGTGTCAGTGGGAAGACGCGTAGGGGAGGAGGAACATATTCCCGCGGTAGGTGAAAGAGAAAAGACCCGCAAAGAGGGAAGAAAGACGCGACGTGCGGGGGGCCTTTCATGCTTGCAGGGGAGCTGTCAAGCTGACCCTGAGCACAGAGGGAAGAGCCGCCTCTATAACCCAGGAAGGCGGGAAGTGAATGCTTTCCTTTCCGCCCCGGATCCAGGACTGGATGGACGGCGTCCAACATGATGAAATGTGGTAGGAGAATGGCCGTGAAGCACGAGCTCTGGATGCTCAAGTTGCGAGACCAAAAAGGACCCTGGGCTGCCCGCCACGCCTCCCGGCTCGGCCCTTTCCGCGGCCGAGCGGCTCTCGAGGGCTGCGAGGAACGACTGCTCCAGCGGCGCCCCCTGCCGCCCGGCAGCCGCCATGCATGGAGAGCAAACCTGGGGTGTGGGCTGACTCCCCGCCTCGCGCCCCCTCCATCCCGGGGCAGCACCTAACCAGCAAGCTCTCCAAAACTGCGGCGAGAAATGGAGCCCCCTGGATGTCTGTCTGGGGCCTGAAAGGCAAATGCTGCGGGTTGGACGTCTGCAAAACAAATCTCCATCTTTTCCTAATTTCACCCAGATGAAATGATGAATATTCATGGCACCCATTATGCCATGCAGGATGGGCCCATTTTTGTGCCTTGGGAAAAACAGGAAGTAAACATACGTAAAAGAAAATTGCGTGTTTTAAGGCAGGGACTGGTCGACTTTTTTTGTTGTTGTTCGTTTGTTTGTTTAATTGATTTCAGAGAGCTGAAGGGAGAGTGAGAAATAGAAACATCAGTGATGAGAGAGAATCTTCCATGGAGAGCCTCCTGCACGCCCCCTACTGGGGATAAAGTCTGCAACCTGGGCATGTGCCAGGACCAGGAATGGAACTGTGACCTCCTGATTCGTGGGTTAGTGCTCAACCTCTGAGCCACTCTAGGCAAGCTTTCCTTTTTTTTTTTTTCTTTTTTTTTTTTTCTCCATATCTGCTCACTGTTGAAAAGTTTTTTTAAAAACCCTACCAATTGACTCATCAAGGTCTTCCTCACAACACTTACATCATGATCCTAGTACACTAGAATAGTGGTCAGCAAACTCATTAATCAACATAGCCATATCAACAGTACAATGATTAAAATTTCTTTTGAGAGCCAAATTTTTTAAACTTAAACTTCTAATGGCACTTTTTCAAAATAGACTCGCCCTGTCCATGGTATTTTGTGGAAGAGCCACACTCAAAAGGCCAAAGAGCCGGATGTGGCTCGAGAGCCGCAGTTTGCTGACCACGGCACAAGAGGAAGAGCACCCTACATTTTGAGTCCCCACTGTTATTACTATTATGATCTCCAACGTCCTCCTTTCCTTTTATTTGTTAACTAAACCCTGGACATTTACGGTGACATCTGTACTACTGCTATCCTAGTCCAAGCTACCCACATTTCCTACATGGACTAAATAAGCTGTCCTAATTCTATCTTGCCAATGTACCTTCTTCCCTCCAGTATTAACTTTAGGCATTAGACCGAAGATTCTTTTGAAAACCTACAATTTCCCTACTTAAAAATGTTCAGTGACTTTCTGTTGCACATTGAATAAAAGTAATCCTTACCATGGTCAGCCCAGCCCACGTTGGCCCAGATTACCTCTCTCCCTTTACATGAGCTCCAGCACCTTCTCCTGTGGAATCTACCACCTCCTCTTCCTCCTACAGGGCTGCTTTGTCTCCAGATGTTCTCAAGCTCCTTATCAGCATTCAAGTCTCAGTAAGGCAGGACAAGTAGTTCAGGGAAACTGAGACAAATAGCTGTGTTATTGGAGAATTGCATGGATTGCCCTTTTCCTTTGCTAATGAGAATAGAGTTCTTAGGGTACCACTGGAATAAGCATTTCTGGAGGACCCTACAGGAGGATGAGATGTGGTAGAAAGCTTTATTTGCATGGGTTAGTGCTCAACCTCTGAGTTTCCATCCCGTAGCGAAGCTGGATCCCGCACAACCTCAGACTAGTTACAGTCTATCAGCCCAATGTGTGGAGTCCACGTGGCTGTGAGCCATATGGGCAAATGCAGGGGATCACATCCTCTGCAACAAGAGAGCTAGGAGTCCAGAGAGCATGCTAGAGAGAGCTCCTTTATTTTGGAGTTTAAATATCAAGTCTTGCCACACTTGCAGTAGCCATGTGTATTCTGGCCATCCAACCTGTTTCCAGGTGTGACTGGCAGCTAAGAACCTTCCCTACGCAACCAAACCAGTGGGCATGCATCTAGTTGGCCTTCCCTTTGCTCCTTTCAGGCTGAACAGACTGACAGAGCAATTTACAGCAGCTACAGAAGGTTACCTCCTTAGAAATGACATCTAGGTCTCAGTTGTACTTCTGCTCCAGGCCCACAACAGCAGCAAAACCAGGTGAGCAGCACCTGAATCAGTAATAATGACTAAAGACCCCCTGCCCTGTCACTGACCAATCAGTGAAGACCATGACCTTGAAGGAGCACACCTAGAAAACTGGTGAATATTCTGCTGAAACCCTCCCCTGATGCCTCCTCTAAGATTCCTGCCTGCATAAAAAATAATAATAAAAGCCTCAAGACAAAGGTCCCAGCTCATGCTCTCCCTCTGGTGAGCAGCATCTGCCCTTCCCTTTCTCCACCTCTTCCCCCACAAGCATGCACCTTCTAAACTCTAAGGGACCTATGAGACTTGCAACCAGGGATGCAATGGGCAGTAGCAGTTTGTCCCGGGCTAACCCCTAAATTTGTTCCCAAAGCGCTCTTTTCTCTGACTTCCCAAAGGCTAGGATAGCCCAGCCTAGGCTCTCCTGCTGCTTCATCTATGCCAGTGGTCAGCAAACTCATTAGTCAACAGAGCCAAATATCAACAGTACAATGATTGAAATTTCTTTTGAGAGCCAAATTTTTAAAACTTAAACTTCTTCTAATGCCACTTCTTCAAAATAGACTCACCCAGGCCATGGTATTTTGTGGAAGAGCCACATTCAAGGGACCAAAGAGCTGCATGCGGCTCGAGAGCCGGAGTTTGCTGACCACGGATTTATGCTAACCCCTTTCTTATTTTACTGTCCCCACATTTAATAAACATTCCCTCATAGTGACCTGGACTCGTGTTATGAAATTTTTTCTGCACGTAATCAAGAACCCACACGCTGCCAGCAGACCCACTCAGGGCCAGATCCCTGTTTTCAGTAACATTAGTTCAAATGTCCTTGTATCAGAAAGGCTTTCTTAGCCAACATGCTATAAAATAGCCTCCCCCATCTCTATCCCAACACCCTTTGCTATTTTCTTCATAGTAGGCATTGTATCTGGAATCACCACTAAACTGGCAGCTCTTAGAGGGCAGGACTTAATCAGTCTTGTTTTCCACATAACTCCCAGACCCTTTAACATCTGGACAGGCAGGAAAAACTAAAAACAAATAAATAAATAAACAGCAACAGAGAGTTGACAGTAAAGGAACAATACATGTGCTCTGCAGAAACTGTTTAACTACTGAAAATCCATAAATTGTCATCATGAGAGAACAAATTGATATTTGTCAATGTTAAAGATACTGAAAAATTAACAAAGGAGAGAGGAAGGAGGTAGGTTAAAACTTCTAAAGGATGCATGGATTCTGCAGGGAAGCCTATGATGGGAGGTCACACAGAGACAGCTCTCTGCAATAATGAAGAGGACTCAGAGGCAGAAAAAGTATAAAGTTTAGGTTCAGTGTGCTAAAAACTTATAAGCTTTTTCCAGCACTGTCTTCATGTTCAAGGCTCCACGTTCAATAGTTTTAAATATTTTCTATACTCCTTCACTTCCCC